GGGAAAGAAAGGCAACAGAAGATCACTGACTTGAGTGTCAAACCAAAGGCCTGCTGTTTCCTAACTAGGTGGCTGTGACAAGTGTCATAACCTCCCCGGCCTCAGTTTCTAAACAGAAAGAGAGAATAATGATAAAAACTTTATTAGAGGGTTGTGTGAGGATTAAATAAAATAAGGCATAAGGGTGCTTTAACACAGTGGTGAATGCTCAATTAACAAGTTGGATAGTTATTAATATCCTAAAAATTCAAAATTTGGGATCACCCAATCCTTAGGGAGACTCATGGAGCTGGCATTTACCTGTCTTCCACCGTCCCCTTCCTGTTGGCCCAGAGTAGAGTCTACTTTGCATATTTCTTAGAAGAGAAGTAGCTTTTCCTATGGGGTAAAGTCCCTCACTTCAGGAAGGAATTCAGGGAGGGTGGAACAGACTGGGTGTTGGATTCTGATCTTTGTGGATGACTCACCTGCTTTGACTTGGAAATTGTCTTTTTAAAATGAGAATAATAAAACATTTCCCCCTTTACTGCCATACCTTTGTCTTCCAATTTGTGAGGCTGGCAGAAGCAATGATTAGCCTGTAAACCGTTTTGGTCTCCCTCGGAAAATAACGTATCACAAAAGAGATGAGGATGGCTGCAGTTTACAGAAATGAAAATTTGTTATCAAAGCAACCCTTCCTGATACCTGGAACCAAAGACTTTGTTCTAACTGGACTCAGGCAGGTACAGGAGGACACAGTATGAAGCTCAGTCTTGGAGAACCAATAGTCCTAGGATTGATTTTGTTAATGAATCCATGTGCTCAGGAACATTTGTCGATATCAGATAGACAGCTGAAGGTTTGAGTTGTATTTCTGGTGGCCTTTCAGAGGTAGGAGAACTAAAGTTGGAATTTAAATTCCATCAAGGTTAGTGTATTGGTAAACTATTTCCATTTTTAGCTAAGATCCACAGGGTTATACCCTAAGAGAAAGGGTAAAAAGAAAGTAAACCACTCTAGCACAGATGGTAGCTAGTCTTTGAGTCATCAGGGTGGCTTAGAAAACCTCAATCTTTTGAGTTTGATTAAATTGTCCTAGACAGATAGTACCCTCAGGTGTGTGATAGATGCTAAAAAAAATCCTCTTTGAAAGAGCATAACGTCATCTTAAGCCTCAAATTAGTTTAACAAATACATTTAAAAATATAATATCCATTAAGTAATTAAAGATCACTAGGCACACTAAAAGACAAGACACCATGATCAAGAGTCAACAGAAAAAACAGCCAACAGAAACAAACTCATAAGAACTGCTGTTGTCAGAATGATCAGAAATCAACAGTAAAACAATGGCACTTACTATAGTCAAGGAGATACAAACTAAGCTGGAAAATTTGTGAGAAAACAGGAAGTGATTAAAAAATGACATAGCGAATTTGAAAAAGAAACAAATAGAAAAATCTAGAACTGAAAAATATAAGAAAAAAAACTAAGAATGCAATTCATCAGATTAGACACAGTTAAAGAAAGAATGAATAGCTAAGTCAAAAGAAAATCTCCAGAAAAAAAGACAAGGAGTCAAAAAGGTGTGAACTATAGAAGAGAGGTAAAAGACATAGAATGTCTAATTTAGGATTAATTAGAATCCCAGAAGGAAAACCAGAGTCGAGACAAGCTATCGATTGTGTCATAGTTGGCAGTGAACTAATAGGATTTAAGGAGCTGAAGGGAGGCCAGTCCCGTTTATTAAATTCCTACTATGTGTCATTTGCTGTGGTAGGAACGTCATATTTATTATCTCATTTTAAAGTGAAGGAAAACACGAGGTCTATAGTTCTCTCCTTTCCTCTTAGATCTCCTCATATAAGAACTGTCCTGGAGGAAGAAGGAGAAAGCAGTTTTATATCTTGGGAAGCTCTTGATTTTCAAGCTCCACTGCAAACTCTGAGCTCAAGGGAGCGAGAGATTACTTAGCTAAGCAAGATTCTCTCCTCCTGTATCCCAGGCAATTAATTTTTTTTTTTTTTTTTGGTAATACAAGTCTGTAAGGTCCTAGGGGCCCAATATTCCTCTTCCTTTAGCCACTAACCTTCCAAGAAATATATATTCAGTACAGTAAAAACCATCCCCTCTGGAAAGGTGAGACAAGAAAAGGGATCAAAATCTCGTGAGACTGATTTAAAGGATTCAAAACTCTGCACACATTTATGTTCAGCCAGCAACCACTTTGAGGAGACAATGTATAACCCACTCATTCAATTTTCACAACACTTTAAAGTTGTACTAGTTAGTATAATAATACTAGATATTGTAACAAACTTACCCTAAAATTTCAGGAGTTGAATACGGTCAAATTTTGTTTCCCCTTACTTAACAGTCCAACAAGGACATTCCTGGTCAAGGGGTGGTTTTTCTCCATATGATGACTCAGGGACCCAGTCTTGGGAGTGACACACTTCACTCTGTTCCCATCTCAGTGGCAAAATTTTGTCTTTGGCTGCCTCTGGGTGCAAGAAGGACTGGAAAATGGAACTCGTGGTTGAGAAGCTGTCTTTTAGCAACAACTTCACACTGTGGTAGAGGAAGCATGGATTTTTGATGGGTAGCTAGCCATCTCTTCTGTAAAAGTATTATTGTCATTATCAATGTCATCATCATCATCATCATCCCCATTCTTGGATGGGGAAACTGAGGCTCCAGTGCTTAAGTAACTTACCAAGGTCTGTAGCTAGTAAATTGTGGAGGCAGAATTTGAACCTAGGTAATCTGGTTGCAAATGTGATGTGCATGCCACTATATCTTCCTAGCTCACAGTGATGAACAGGAGATAGCCCCCACTGCCACGAAAAAGATGGTGTCAGACATGCCCTCAGAATTTTATTTTCAATAATTAAGCATTTGAAACAAGCTAAGTAAGTGCTTGAAAACAAGTGCTTTCATAGACATTTAAAGTCGGAGCTCGGATGCACATTCTTGGAGGGGCTTTCCCTGCTCCCGTGACCTTCCAATCACCCTGCACCCCCAGGCTCTCTATTTCATGTAATCTTGTGTATTCTCTTCATCAAGAGCTATCACCATCTGAAACCAGGCACATATTTGTTTCCTTGTGGATCGACGATCTCCCTTACTAGAATATAGGCTCCCTGAAAGCAGGGAGCTTGTCTGTCTTGCTCGCCTTGTATCCCAGTGCCCATAACAAAGCCTGGCACATAGTAAACTCTCAATAAATTTTTGTGAAATGCCTGAGTAGGCATATCTACAAAATGCTGTCAGAAACATCTGAAATTTAGAAAAATACAAACATGCAACAATGTAAACAAAAGAAAATAAGTCATCTTCATTTCCAAGAGCCCAGAGGTAATTAACTTAGCATGTGGATATCTATTCCTTCTTTCTGTGTATGTCTTTTTTTTTTTTACAGAAACGGGATCCTTACCTCTTTGTACATGGCTTTTTTTTCACCTTCTAACACATCATTTTTTTTTTTTTTACAGAAACGGGATCCTTACCTCCTTGTACATGGCTTTTTTTTCACCTTCTAACACATCGTATACATATTCCATTCCATTTAATTTGATCGATCATCTTCTATGAGACTATTTGGAATGACCACAGGTTATTCTATCATATGGCAGGATCCTAGTTTATTTGAAAAACCTGCTATTCGTGGGCATTTAGGCTTTTTACCACTTTCCCACAATAACAAATTGCGTAATGATTATTTGAGATTAGGCACCCAGTCAAATGGAGTACACATTTTTAAAGCATGACTTATTTTTCTAATTAAAATATAGCTGACTTACAACACTATATTAGTTTCAGGTATATATCATAGTGATTTGATATCTACAGACATTATGAAATAATCACCATGACAATTCTAGTAACCTTCTGTCACCATAGGAAGCATGACTTATTTTTCACCAGCAAAATGTAGAAATCCCAGTGGCTCTAGCAGTGTAAATTAAAACAAAGGCTAATTTAAATAATGTGTGTGTGTGTGTGTGTGTGTGTGTGTGTGTGTGTGTGAGAGAGAGAGAGAGAGAGAGAGAGAGAGAGAGAGAGAGAGAGAGAGAGATTATGATTAACTATATACACGAAAACTAAGTGCTCATTTTTGTCAATAGATCTACTCCAGGAGGGTCATTTTGACTCTAATTCCTTTTTCTTCTAAGTGAAAAAAAAAGAAAGAGATGCTTGCCTGGGCAGTAGTAGGTGTGGTAGAACCACCAGATTTCACTTCTTTTCAGGATGCTTTTGAGTTTGTGCTTTTGCATCTGGAGATATCACAGGAACTGGAAACATTCCGCTTTATTTGAGAGATCCTATCTCTAGGTCTGGGTCTCTCTTGAGCTTTGCTAATGCATGCCCTTTTATGCGCTCCATCTTCTCAAAGAAAGGAAATGGACACAGAACCAAAGGCAGTTTCCTGGGATGTCAGAGATGTCTCTTCTTTAAAAAACATCTATGTTTTTGAGCAAGGCTGAGAACCACAATTTCCAGCTGCTGTACAGGACCAGCAGTTTGCAGCAGCAATCATGATGAGACTCTGGGCTTTCAGAACTATGAGGAGTTTTCATTCTCTCTCAATAACCATGTCCAGCTTTAATAGTCAAGGGTTGTTCTCTGCCAACCCAACTTGCTAACAAAAGTTGCTCACACTTATAAAATGTGCACCAGGGAGTGTAAAATCATCAATTTGCAAGGCAGGTATTTGTATCTCTAGTTTGCAGATGAAAAAACAGAAATTGAATGAGGTTAGCTAACTCGCCCGGGGTCACACATTCAGGAGTCAGGAATTTAACTTGGCTCTGTCTGTTTCCAGAGTCCTTAACTCTTGCCACTATGCCTCACTGCTACTGTGGTTTGCTGTTAGCCCCATGTTACACTTTAAACTACTCAGGGTTAGGAAGGTTTTGCTTGCTAAAGGAATTGTGGGGTTTTTGTTTTTTGTTTTTTTGGTTGTCTGTGTTTTAAGGCTCCATCAGTGCCATTTCCTGCCAATCATAAATTTTATTTGTTTGGAAAACTTGGAGGTAAATATAATCAAAGAATCTTGAGGCTATATCAATGCCCTTATCTGAAAATGTGGGCTTCTGGTTGCCATGGTGAAGGGGACCTACTCATCTTTCAAGAATGAACGCAGGACATTTTGAAAGCTTTCCGCATGCTTTTGCCCCTCCCTTGCTGTTCTGAATGGGATGACTTAGCCCCCTAAGTCTGGCACCAGAGAGGTGACATCATAATGAAGTGTTCAGCTTTGATGTCTGCTTCTTCCAGACTTGAGAACCTACTCATCCTTAGTGCTCTCTGCCTCTGGTGCCCAGCAAAGGAGCCTGGGCTATGTTTCCAGCACGGTCATTCTCACTTTCACTTCCTGCATTTGTCTGTCCTGCTTGACACCCATTTTTGGAACCTCTCAAGCCATAGATAAACAAAGTCCCCAGCACAAAAGAACTGAGTCTAGTGGACAGAGGCAGATAGAAAAATCTGAATATTTAATAAAAAATTGAAAACAAGTGAACAAAAGCTACCTGCATCCACATAGATAAATGTTTAAAAATATAACGTTTAGTAAGCAATAAAAGCTACAGAATGATATATACACTTTGGTAACATTTACATAAAGATAAAAATGCTAAACAATCCTGCATATTGGGTAGTGATGCAAACCTGTATACAATAAACACCAAATTTATGAGGATGGTTACCCCAAGGAGATAGGTAGGGGATGACTGTTGGAGAAAGGTGTACATCGGGCTTCAGTTGCACGTGTGACGTCTCATTTCTCGAGGAAACTGTTATGCCTGCTAGTGTACATTGCATTATGCTCTGTACATATTTGTATCATTAATATTTTATTTTAAAAGGCAGGCTTTAAAAATAATACACATATACACACATAATCCCATCTCAATTTTATATTTGAAAATGCATTTATGTTCATGGTGGAGAAAAGGTGGGGGGATATTAGAAAATATCAAATTTGTATTTAAAAATGCATTAACATCCATGGTAGAGAAAAGGTAGGAGAAAGTATTAGGTTAGATCACATGAAGTTGTAATTTTTGTAGGGTAAAAATGGTCGACTATCAGCAATCTCATATGGTTCAATCTAATACATCAAAATGGCAACAATCACTATCTCTAAGAGTGGGGATTCTGGATGCTCTTTTCTTTTTTGATGCCTTGAACATTTTTCTACTGTGAACATATATTTTTCATACCAGAAAAGTTTCTATGTGTATTGTTTGAGAGGAAGAAAGTTGTCTTTCTGCTGCTCCCTTGTGTGCCTTACAGCACAGGGTTCCCCTTTCCTTCATCCGCCTGGTTGGTTAACCTGTGCCATGGGGTAAGATCCTGGCACAGGTGCCAATGTGCCTGTATCAGGTAGTTTACTCGGATAGATGACTATAATGACAGACACTGTGGGCATTAGGATTTTGGCAGAGATACATCTAACAAAGAAATTGGTATGGAGCCATAAAGATAAATCCTGCAGCTCAAGGACTAGCAGCGATTGAATAAGTATGAGTATCTAGTTCAAGGAAAAGAGCCCCATTCTCGCACTCCAAGACCTTTTCTTCCATCAAGGACCATTGATGAAATGGAGAAATCAAGTCAGGGTAGCATGAAAACAAAGGCCGATGTCTTTTATTTCCCTTGAGAGCAGTATAAAATGTTCTATTTAGTTGCCAGAAAAAGTAACAATAGAGGATATGAAACTATTCATTTTACATATATAAGTCATTATTATATGTAATACGTTTCAGTTTTGTAGCCATTTAAGGGAACTTGGAGAGAATGGGCAATGGTAAGGTGGAAAAAGAGACGTTAGGGAAAG